TTAAAAGACAATTAAAAAAGAAAAGAGGGGGAAGTGCGGGAGAGAAATACCTACCGTAGACTAGGGTCTGAACTGCCTAAATTAAGTAATGCAATATTAAGCAGTGTCCCAGGAACATCTTTTGGTCGAATCTTGGTATGCTGAGGGATGGAGTCAGGCTGTGACAGCTCCCAGCGGGTCCTGATATGAATGATAGACTGGACAATGGCTTCACACTCCTGATGCATGAAGGTAAGTGGTGTGCCTTGGTTTGCAATGGTTAAGGTGAACTGGTTCTCATCCACTAGGCAGATCTCTTCGATTTCAGAAGCATAGTAGATGTCATTTAGAAAGACGGATTGCCCCAGTACTTTGGTTCTCTCTGCTGAGGTTACCTGAACAGCAGTAGAACCAACCTGAAAAATGGTAATGAGGAAGAGGAGAATTAAATTCCACTATATAGAATTCTCATAAGGCTCAAAGCCAACTCACCCAAGCACCCCCACATGATGTTTGCCATTTAAATGTTACTATTATATATTCAAGATAGTACCATTAGATATTCAAATTACTTAACAATTATTTATAAATATACTCAAAAGAAACTGACACCATCAGAAAAGAATTATTCTATAAAAAAGGCCAAGCATTCCATAAACAGGTGATAGAATGGGTCAAACTCACTACTCTGAAAAAACATGAACTGATTAAGAGAACCGTCAGTAGGTCCTTTCCACTCTGCACACTCGACTGCTAGGCAGAGTCACAGAGAGGAACTACAGCATTCTTTTGCCCCTAGCCTGACCTTCAGTGCCTTAAAAGTTAATCTATTTTATTTGCATGAGTGTTTGACTGCGTACGTATCTGTGCGTCACATGTGTCTGGCGCCCTCAGGAACTGAAGCTACACACGGTTATGAGCCATTATGTGGGTGCTGGGAATTGAACCCTAGACCTCTGGACACCAACCCCCATGAGTGTCTTTTAAGTGCATACTTTTCACACCTTTTGCAGGACCACAAGAAAGACAGAAAACTTGGTCTTTCAACATCTGGATATAACTGATATTGGATATGCAACTACAGTAATACTTGTAGAGGTCAAACTATAAACTGGTTGGTCAGGAAAGGCACCACACCATTCAAAAACAGATGGGAAGTTACCTTAATAGAGACTTTGGTGTCTTTGTGAGCAAGCTTGAGAGCATTGTGGAACACCTTTAGGTCTTCTTCCAGAGCCAAGGTGGCAGCAGGGAGTTTCTGTTGCTCATGCTCTATGTGCTCAGCCAGCTTCCCGGGGCAGTCTATAAAAATAAGCCGTTTGCTGCCCTTCAGGCCAGTCAGCAGCCGCTCGTGGTACTTGGTGTACTCCCTGACCCAGGAGTTACAGTTATAGATATAGACTGCAGACACATTGTCGTAAGCGAAGCCAGGAAAAACAACAAACCACTTAGAAAGGAAGTCTGTTTTAAAGCGATTGCTAGGTCCAGTATGGGTAAGATCCACTACAATTTCATATGGCTTTGCATAATATGGCTTTAAAGTCAGCAAGACATGGTATATCAGCAAATCACCATTGATTTGGCCAGTTTTGAACCTAAGGAAGGCAACAAAAAGGATAAACATTGTTAAGATTTCTGAATATATGGAATATGAATCTCTTTTCTTTTGTTTTACTTTTATTAATTATGCATGCATGCATGTGTGAGCACATGCATGCATGTGGAGGCCAGAAGACTGTAGTGATATTTTATTTGTAATCTAACAAGTAAAGCTTGCCTGAAGATCAGAGTGCCGAGCTAAGAGTCAGCCAGATAAGCTAGGCCGTTGTGGCATACACCTTTAATCCTAGTTCTCAATAGAGAGAGGTAGACATTTCTGTGATTTCAAGGCCACTCAGGGCCTTAAATGTGTCTAAAAGAGAAACAGAGCTCAAAGGTGATCCCAGCACCTGGGATCATAGGCCTTTAATTCCAGCACTAGGGATATGGAGATAGGAGGGATATGGCTTGGCAGAGATAGGAATACAAAATGGGAGGAAACAGGAGCTCAGATGCAGTCTGAGGATTTGTAGAGACGGGATAATCCCTTTGGTCTGAGCATTGGTAAAGGTAAGAACTCTCTAGTGGCTAGCTGGTTGCTTTGCTTCTCTGATCCTTCAGTTTTCACATGATAGCTGACTTCGAGTTTTTATTCTTAAAAACAATTAGACACCTCTGTGGAGGTCAGAGTTGGTTCCCCTCTCTCTACCATGTATGTTCTGGAAATTGCACTCTGGTTGTCAGGCTTGCAATGAAAACATCTTTACCTGCTGAGCCATCTCGTGGGCCCCTTTTAAAAATTTTATGATTTTCTTGTATTTTTGGTTGTGAGGCTAGCCTTTCACAGCTGAGCCATCTCTCTGGCCTGATTAATTTTTTTAAAGAGGACAATGATATAAAACAATTATTCGAAGTGTAGATTTATGCTTATATTTCTTAGATAGTGTGGTCAATAAGGCTAAAGAGAGAAGGAACAAACTGCCTTAAGAATTTTGAAAATAACAACAAATCTGCCCACCAAGAAAGAAGGAAGACAGCGGACAGGGAGAAGGCACCTGGGTGCATCGTATTTCTCAGAGAAGCCGCTGACTGAAAAAGGTGACCAGAAGTTTTAGTCAGCCCATTGAACCTTGAACACCAAGACTCAAGTCAGGACAGTAAAGTCAAGAGGCCCAATTCACAGGTTAGTTTAGATTGTCGGGATTGGAGAGCCTTCCCCCATGTTTGTAATTAAGAAAACATACAGTCCTGGAAATTGTTAACTCATCTTAGGATATGATGGAAAAGCATGCCTCAAAACCTGAGAGGAGTTGAGAAATAAAAAGACGGTCTGGGGTCTTGGCCATAATCTGAGTCATAGATAAAAATCTCTCCTATGGTTAGGTTTCCCCCCAGACTATGTAAGCTAGTAAGTCCCATGGTTTGATTAAACCACATTAGGTCATATACCACGTCCACTTGGCTTGGGTTATGGAAAACTGGCTGGGGCAGTGAGGGAATGAATAAAGGACTGACACAGATGCACGTACAGAAAAGCTGGGATCAGGTGGGCTATGCATGCTCTGATGGACTTACACCAACGACAGAAACAACCCAGAATTCTCAGGAAGTTTATTAGGTACAGCCTAAGTTAATCAGTCTTGGTAGGAGGCCTCTGTAGGTGAGCAGTCTTGGGCTTTACAGATCAGGGAGAAGGGAGAGGCAGCTGCTAGTTTTGGCACACACTGGCCAATTATTGGTAAAGACTCATTTTTGCATACACTGCCAACATCCTCAGGGACCAGAGGAAGGCTTTACATCCTTCTGAGCTTCAACACAGGGAGGGGAGCGGGGGAGAGGAGAGGCTTTGCCATTCTCATGGATTCAAACAACATTACTCATTCACTTAGGACTTCATTTGGTCATTACATATTCACTCAGGGCTTCTCCTTGGTGTCCCACAGTCATACATTGCTTAGGACTGAAAGAACATTAATCAACACAAGTAGGCACAGAAAGGAAGCTCTGAAGAATGTGGTGCTTGACTCTGATCCAAACACCTATATTAACTCAGACCCACTGTTCTCATCTCTTGATTGTCTCTGAGACATGATAAATATCTTCGTGTAAGAAATTTTAATATTGTTGTGAAAGAATAAAATGACAAGTTAAAATATTTTTAAGATGAAAGGAATATTTTAAGATAGTAAAAGAAAAAGAAAATACACAGGTTGGGCATTCCTACTCTGAAAAAAAACTTTGAGTGGCTCAGGATGCCAGGATAGGAAACGCAAACCTGATACTCTAAGATACACTAACAGTGCAAGTCTGGTTCAGTTACACATACAGAAGGTATATATGAAACAAATGAGTTCTGTGTTTTGTATTCACCACCGTCCATTCAAAATTTCATTGTATATATATGTAAACATAAATGTTGCAAAATCCAAAGGAAAATTAAAACTGCACACCTGTCTGGACATAAGCAGTTTGGACAAGGGATGTTCAGCCTGCATGTATGTCTTACATTACTCACTAGACCTGTTTCAGAAAACAAATCAAAAAAAAATCTTCAAAGTCATCATGGGCAACTGTAGTGATAATTATTTTAATAAATAAAGCTTGCCTAAGGATCAGAATGCAAAGCTAAGCCACTAGAGGCCAGGGAGTAGTAGAGACAGGCGTGATCTGGCTGGGCAGAGAGAGGAATATAAAGGGGAAGAGACAGGAACTCACTGGAGTGTGGAGACTGAGGTTTGGTGGAAACACACAACACAGTCTAAGCAGTCTGAGGATCGCCCCTTCGGTCTGAGCCTTGGTAGAGGTAAAGGTCTCTCTAGCGGCTGACTGCTCTGCTTCTCTGATCTTCAGCTATAACCTCTATATCTGACTCTGGGTTTTCAATAGTCGTGCTACAGGCAACTTAATGAAACTCTAACTCAAAATAAAAAGGAGAGGAGGTCAGAGGGCTGGCCCAGTAGGTAAAGATGCTTACCATGCAAACCTGGTGACCTCAGAACCAAATAAAGGTAGAAGGAGGGAGGTGATTCCATGTACTTGTCCCCTGATCTCCACAGTCATGCCATGGCACACACATGCAGTCTCTCCCCTGTCCAGACTCAATGTCAAGTACATATATACATAGTAACAATAAATAAAAAATGTAAAATAAACAAAGAGGGTTAGGGATAGAACTTTGCTATAAATGTCTGTCTGGGGGCTGGAGAGATGGCTCAGCGGTTAAGAGCATTGCCTGCTCTTACAAAGGTCCTGAGTTCAATTCCCAGCAACCACATGGTGGCTCACAACCATCTGGAGTGAGGTCTGATGCCCTCTTCTGGCCTGCAGACATACACACAGACAGAATATTGTATACATAATAAATAAATAAATAAATAAATAAATAAATAAATAAATAAATAAATAAATATTTTTAAAAACTGCCTGTCTGGCAGGCAAAAGATACTGAGATCAGTCCCCAGCAACACTCATAAATATAATTAAAATTTTAAATTATGTAAATTCAAAGTTTTTTGTTTGTTTTTTAAAAAATGAGGACGTGGACAATTAGCTCAGTTCATTAGTGTGGTGCTCATTAAAAAAAAGAGGGATATGATTATAGAGTTCTATCCAAGATACATGGAATACCTAGGGCTAGTACAGATGTTTAGTAGTCTAGGTATATCACTACGGTGGAAGTAAAATTAGAAGTAAATCCAAGACTATGAAAGGATCTAAAGTGTGATATGAATGGAGAGGATCTGGTATAATCCAGGTCTCTGCTAACATCTACAGAGCCACAGAGCTGTTACCACAGAAGACAGTGTAAATCTATCCTAGACATGTCTAATCGAAGATGATGCCAGGACCTGTGCACATACCACACCCTGCAAGCATCCTCGAGTTCAAATCACTGTTGCAGTTTCCAGTTTGAAATGCCAGTTATGTGTGTGACTGTTTCTCCTATCTGACAAATACCTACAAGGACTCCACATTTATGTTTTAAAATCTGTCTGTGGCACAAAATAAGAGTCTAAAAATGATTTCAATGCCTTGATGTCTTCACATAATTTCCACCGAATAATACTAATTTCAAAAGCAAATAGAAGGCAAAAGCAATCAGCTAAAGGAGGTCAAAAGAAACGAAGTGGAAAGCCCTCCCCATTCTGGGGGTGGAGATTTGCTCTACAAAGCTTCTTGTCACCCCAGAGCCAGCTAGAGCAGTTGGTGCTTCTGCCTTCCACGTGACGTGTGTTGAGTTGCAGCGGAAAGGAAATGTGTCATCTGTGGTTTGGTTTGAAAAGTGGAAAACTAGCTGTACGCATCCTCCTAAAAAACTGCAGATTTCAGTTTTGTAGTCTTCAAACTGTTCTACTTTAAGTAAGAAAAGAAGAAAAGAAGTGGCTGATTAAATAAAGAGTGTGGCAGAGCATTTGTAAGGTAGGTCATACACGTGGCTTTTCTCATTCCTTTTCACTCATAACTCTGTTCAGATTAGTGTTGAGGAAGTGTTTTTTTTTTTAAGATGCATAGATCTAACAAAGCAGAATTGTTGTTTTTCTATCCTATTATGGAAAATTATGTAAATAGCATAAGCAATTAGAGCTAGGAGAGTTTATAATTATTAATATGAAGTTTTAAACCAGAATGAGGAAGAACCTGAGTATGGACTCAAATGAGTTGAATAGGGAAATATATTTCTCATTACTAGACCTTAGGCATTATAAATGTGACTAAAAATGATGAGACAAAAAAACAAAACCAGAAAGCCAAAACCTTGCTAACCCAACCTGGTCTCTAGGGCATAAAACAGATGTAGGAATAGTCCTCAGTTCTCAGGCATTTGTGAGCATAAGAGAAAGTCTCATTTTGTCAGCAGCTTGTTTACTGGGGCATGGCAGCACATCTGGCTGAAGACAATCAACAGCAGGCCTATTATGTGTCCCGTGGTACACTGCTAGCATGTAGATACAGTGATGTATACTGCACTGTGAATGAACTAATGTGATTTGAATAACATACTGTAAGTCATTTTAACATTGAATGCATGAATCTACTCTGGCAGAAAATGATGGGCATTTCTTAATAACCCAATTAAAAGTGCTTCTTTTTGTGAACAACTCAAAGTATCAAGAGAATCCTATCATTCAACTTGAAGACTGAAGCTAACACAAAAGTCAGAGCACTGTATCTTGTGTCTACCAATAGTCATAATCCTGATAATGATCTGGATCCCAGAACATTAGGTAAAAATTTTGCTGGTTTTGTTTTTTTCTCCCTCTCCACTCAGAGTTAGTTTACAGTTAGCATCATTTACAATGTTATATTTGTCTGTGCAACTTAACACACCTGTTAGTCTCAATTTCTGTTCACTAGCATTCAGATACTGTCTAGTGGCATATAGTGTCCCATAGAAAACCACCCGGCTCCAGTATAACTGCCAGAGTGCCACTTGGAGTGGTTTAGAGACAGAATCTCACACCCTACCCTAGACCTGAAAAAAAGACTCCCTCATATATTCCAGTTTGAAAGCAACATCTATAAAACACACAGGTGCTTAACAAGACAACCCATTCATTCTTAGAACAATCTACTGTTTGATCTAAGTCTCCTCATTTATGCTCTGAATAAAATACTATCTCAAAAGTTGCTCTGGAGAACTCTCATAGCACAAGAAGCACCTCAGCCGAACCTGGTCACACATGCACACGTGATCCAAGGAACCAGGAGGCAGAGGCAGGCTAATCTCTTAAAGCAGAGAAACAATTCAGTTCACTAAAGGTGCCAAATGTCTCTTGCTATGTTAGCTCTACCTAAGGCAGACAATGACAACCCTAGCAAGATCTCTAAGCAGACACCAATAATAGGAACTGAGAACAGACTTTGTCTTTTTATGTACTGGTTTCTAGAAACCTGAGTCCAAAACTAAATTTCAGTTTTTGGGGGGTGAAGGGTTGAGGTGAGTGCTGGACATGAACTACTACACAAATGCATTTTCACTGTTGAATCTCAACCTTCTAACGTCAAGAGAAGCCACTGTATTCTAAGAACCCAAAAGTCTGATAACCAATTTTTTAAAATTTTTCTTTATAATTTGTGTTAAAATGAGGTGGGGGAAGAATGCAAGTTATAAAATGACAACAGCTGGGCAGTAGTAGCACACGCCTTTAATCCCAGCACTCAGGAGGCAGAGGCAGGAGGATCTTTGTGAGTTCGAGGCCAGCCTGGTCTACAAGAGCTAGTTCCAGGGAAGACTCCAAAGCAACAGAGAAACCCTGTCTTGAAAAATCAAAAAAATAAAAATAAAATAAAATGACAACAAAGTGGGCTGCCATTTGTAGAATTTTTAAGAAAAGAAGAAGTCTTTTTTTTTTTTTTTTTTTTTTGGTTTTCGAGATGGGGTTTCACTGTAGTTTTGGAGTCTGTTCTGGAACTAGCTCTTGTAGACCCAGGCTGGCCTCGAAATCACAGAGATCCGCCTGCCTCTGCCTCCCGAGTGCTGGGATTAAAGGTGTATGCCACCACCGCCCAGCCTGAAAAAAATGTTTGTTCTTCCTGATTTCAAGATTGAGAGAACAATCCTGCCTCTGCTATTTGGAAAGTCACTGTCAACTAAGGCAATAGAGGTGGAATAAGCACACAAAGCTGCAGTCCAAAAGCTAGGACTAGATTCTAAGGCTGTTTTAATGTCACAACTGGAAAGACCAAACAACACTTTAAATTCCTACTTGATGTACAATCTTGCTTTCAATCTCTACCAAACATCCACCCTCCTCTCCCACAAAAAGTCACTTGTAATTTCTTTTTATACTTGAAACAAAACTTTCAAGGCTAAGTTCTCCTTTACTTCAAGATGAGGACGTGCAACTCAGAGGGTGGATGCTTCAGTAAAAAAGAGCCTTAAATGAGGAATCACAAGCACAGAAGCAGAAGCAGCTCACTCCAAGCTGAGGTCTATGATGTGTCCTTAATAGGAAGATATGTAAAGCAATGATACACAGTAAAAAATGGCTAAGAGATATTTGTAAATGCTAAATTACAGCATCAAAATGTACAACAAAATTAAAATGTTTATATATAATCTAAGAACAGGGATAAAAATTCAGTTAAAAATAAAAAAGCTTCAGTTGGGAAGGGTCCAACAGCAAATGGTAGGCATGGATTTCTAATTTCCTTGCGCTGTCTCAAATGCAGTCCCATAACTACAATTACTCTGTGCTATTCTTCTACAAGCTACTGATTGGTATTGCTGTCTTAACAGATACCAGTATACCAGTGGGCATGGAACATACAGGACAGTACCTGCGTCTCTTTTTCCTGATGACAACAGTGTGTACCTTGCCTCCAGGAACAAAAGCAAACTATACACATCTGTTGGCTGACAATGTCCCTGCTTGGGGCTCTGGTAATGAAAACAGCACGAGCAGACATCAAAGTGAGAGGAGTGCAGACCCTGTCAGCCCTACAGTGGATCACAGAGTGAGCTCCACAGGCATACTTGCATCATCTCCCGCTGTGTCTTTAACCCAGACACCTACATCGAAGTCCTCCGGGCCCCACGTCTTCAGAAACAGTTCTCCAACAGCAGAGATCATTGAAAGCACAAGCAAAAGTCATGGGGAAACTTTTAAAAAGGACGTCTGTGAGAAAAACAACAGCAACATGGCCATGCTAATTTGCTTAATTGTAATTGCTGTACTTTTTCTTATCTGTACACTTCTATTTCTATCAACTGTTGTTCTGGCAAACAAAGTATCATCTCTCAGAAGGTCAAAACAAGTAGGCAAGCGCCAGCCTCGGAGCAATGGTGACTTTCTGGCAAGCAGTGGGCTCTGGACTGCGGAATCGGACACTTGGAAAAGAGCAAAAGAGCTCACAGGCTCCAAGCTCCTGATGCAATCTACTGGTGTACTCCCAGCTACCAGGGAAAGGAAGCATGAAGAAGGAACTGAAAAACTCAACTAGACCACACGGAAAGGGAAATGCAGAGCAGCAATGAGGAAGGCTGGATTGAAAAGAAAGTTGGCTGGTGGTGGTATTTAACACCAATTGTTTGTTCAGATGTCTGATGAAAAAATCTGACGTGTAGTTTAGCATCAAAAAAAAAAAAAACAGAAAGGAAAATATATGTCTGCTGAAGTTACCTAAAACTTCATTTCTGTTTCACACTGCATATTGTTTAAAAAAGTAAATAAAACAACAGCAGCAGAAGAAACTAACAGAAATAACAAGAGGTAACTAAATACTCCTGTTCAGCAACAGGTGACCTTTGTCTGAATGTATTTGAACGTGGAAGGGGTCTATTAAGTCCTTAGAGCCAAGCAGATGCCATAATCCCTAGAAGTCAAATTTCTAATTGCTAAGTATTTTCTTAAAACGCCAAACCTCTCCGCTGACGCAAATAATTCCAATCAGACCAAATCAGACCTAATTAAAAGATGCCCATGTTTCATGGAGTGCTCCCAGGGAGCCCTGGGAAAACATGGAGAGGGGAAGAAAGAGAAGGGATACCATGCGAAACCTGGAGACCATGTGTCTCCATTCTCTAGGTGGCAATTTTAATAGCCTGTGGGAGTGGTCTTGACCTTCTCTGGAGAGGGGGTTACCATTTGGCGGGCAAAGTATAATTCAATTGTGTAATGCAATAGTACATTCTCACTAGATGAGGTAGAACCCATACCAGTTTGTATCCTAGCACAGCTAACATTAAGGTTACTTCTCTTTACCTTTACATATGGCAGAAGACCAAAGTGCTTTTCTACTATACATAATAAACTAAAACTTCATGTTTTCCAATAAATGAAAAAAAAAAATAGAACAAAGTTGGCCATGTATCTTGTATTTATACCATCCTAGAATACATTATAAAAAAGAAAACAGGGCTGGAGAGATGGCTCAGTGGTTAGAGCACTGGCTGCTCTTCCAGAGGTCCTGAATTCAATTCCCAGCAACCACATAGTGGCTCACAGCCATCTGTAATGAAATCTGTAGCCCTCTTCTGGCATGCAGTCATACATGGAGGCAGAATGTTGTATACATAATAAATAAATCTTAAAAAAAAAGAAAACAACACAACTAAAACAGATGAGATTCACATTTACAACCAAAGGCTAAACATAAAAATGTTTTAGTGTTTAAGAGTAATATTTGAGGGCTGGGAGCATGGCTCAGTGATTAAGAGCATTGGCTGTTTTTCTTGAGGACCTGGGTTCAATTCCCAGCACCCACATGGCAGCTTACACTCCAGTTCCATGGCAGTCTATAACTCCAGTTCCAGGGGATATGGTGCCTTCACATAGATATATATGCAGGCAAAATACCAATATACATAAAAATAAATCTTAAAGAAAAAAGGATTGAAAATATTTCTTATACATGCAAATGCACATAAGTAAAAATGAAATACATTCTTTGAAAAAAAAGAGTAATATTTGAAGAGGCTGAAGAGATGGTTCAAAAATGAGAGCACTGGCTGGTTTTCCAAAGGACCCAGGTTCTATTCCCAGGACTCACACAAGGCTCACAGATGGCTGTAACTCCAGTTCCAGGGGATCCTGGCTTCCTTAGACAACAGGCGTATACATTGTATACAGATATAAGTGCAAATACATAAAAACCGATATACATAAAATAATTTTTAAAAATCATAACATTTATCTTTTGCATACATACTATTTATTAGAAGATTAACAACAAGCACTGGCCAGGTGTGGTAGCATGCACCTGTAATCCCAACATTTGGGAAGGTCAATTAAGGGAATTCTGAATTTGAGGCTAGACTAGCATGCATAGTGAGGCCATCTCAAGCATTAACAACAACAAAACATAACAAATACCTTAAAGTTGGTTAATGTTTAGACTGCAAGGATGCTAAGTAACTTAAAATGATCAATTTCACTTTTAATTTCAAAAGCAGCATGAGTAAAGGGAAGTGAGGTGTGTGCATGTGTACATGCATTTGATCAGATCTGGTAAAAAGGTAATTGCTTAAGCCTTGAAAAAAACAGCCTTTAAGTAAAACAATAACTGACATTCAAGTCAAGCCCTTTATTTCAATAAAGCACATCACAAAAGCTGACTTGAGAAACTTTCCAAGTGTCTAGTAAAACTGAAAAGGGAAGTACCAACTAATAGCTAAGCTTCACTTAAATCCCATTCCTTAACTAGCTTTATTCTGTGCAATATGCTAACACCAAAGAAAAGATTTTACCATAACCATATTCTCATCCCTTTATTTTTAACTGTGTGTATATACGTGTGAGTGCAGCCCTCACACAGTCCTTCTGGAGCTGGAGTTACAGGTGATTATGAAGCACCTGAAGTGAGTCCTGGGAACTGGACCCAGGTCCTATGCAAGTGAAGTATGCTCCTTTAAAGACTTATTTTTTTTTATTCTACCTGAGTGTCTTGCCTGCATATATATTTGTGCACCACATGCATGCAGTATGACCCTTGGAGGCCAGAAAAAGCTGTTGGACCCCCTGGAACTGGAGTTACAAACAGTTGTGAGTTGTAAAATGGTTTGGGGAATCAAACCTGGGTCCTCTATAAGAGCAGCCAGTGCCCTTAACTGCTGAGCTATCCCTCCAACCCCTTAACAATCCTCTCTTGATTAATGATTCATCCTGGCTACATATCGGAATAATTGTTTTTGAAACAGGGTCTGATTTTTTTAAAAAATTTAATACCAATACTTAATTTCTATCCCCTACTTCTGACTACAGTTACAAGATAATTACTGGGTATTTTTTCCTAACTACTTAGATGGTATGATCCTTGACAATCACATTCACTTCTGTCAAGCTCTGTGACTTTAAACATCTTTAAATAACTATGTGTTGAGGGGCACATGCAATCAAATTTATTTTCTTTCTTAATGTGTATGGATGTTTTGCCTACATGTGTGTCTATGTACTACATGTGTGCCTGGTGCCCACAGAGGCAAAAAGAGGGCATCAGATCATCTCTGGGATTGGAGTTACAGATGGTTATGAGCTACCATGTGGGTGTTGAAATTGAAATTGATCCTCTGAAAGAGCAGCCAGTGCTCTTAACTGCTAATAACAACTTTTTTTTTAGCAATTTACTACCAGCTTTAAAACAAACAAACAAACACTCATCCCCTAAACAGTAAATCATAACATTACACCAGGTAAAGCAAAATGTCAACAAAATGAAAAAGTAAAGCATGAGAGACAGAAAGATCAGGGTACACTACTGTCTTTTTTCCTCCTATTACCTCTTGTTTCTTTGTTCTAGTTCTTTTGCTTTTAGGGAGTAAGTGGGTGGAGTGAGTCTTTTGTTTATGACAGGATGTTCTGTAACTCTGGCTGTCCTCAAATTCACTACATATAATGATCTCCAAGACACTTGAGCCACTTGCTCTACCACCTTAGTGCAGGCATGTATCATCAAGCCAGATTCTGGTTGTCTTTTCAAGAGTAAAACTGGCCTTTCTTTTCCATCTCTCTCCCAAAGAGGTAGCTGCTGTCATGGCTCCTCTCTTCCCCCTTCTGTCTGTCTGTCTGTCTGTCTCTTCTCCCTCTCTCTCTCCCTCCCCCCGCTTCTCCCTTCTCCCTTTCCCCCTTCATAACTAAATAAATATCCAACTTCACTCTGGGAAAAAAAAGTAAAACAGATTAAAAATGACTATGGGCAATGTTCCCATATTATGCAAATTAAATATCTGAGGTTGGATGAAAGAATAACTCAGTTATCCTCTTTGAGATAACTGTTATAAACAAATACTTGTCAGAGAAAATTAAAACAAAACAACCTTTTCCTAAAGACAAGGAATTGATAAAGAAACTACCTTCATATTAAACATATTGATCAACCATTTTAAATAAAACAGAAGAATTTTATGCGCTAGAGGAGTATTTAAAATTCATGACTCCATATTTGGTTTGTTAGCATACACCCTGAGCATGATGCCTTCTGTGGGAGTTTATAAAAAGAAGGGTTAAAGATGGCTACAGTTTCATAATTTCCTAAGTTGATTTCAAATGAAACTATTTTTATTTTCCACTCCTAGATAAAATTATTAACATCTTAATCTAAAGATTTAAAAGTAAATTAAAAATACTAAATTAAATCAGAAGTGGGAACACATGCCTTTAGCCCTAGCACATGGGAGACAGAAACAGGCAGATCTCTGTAAGTTCCAGGCCAACCTGGTCTACAGAGCAAGTTCTAAGACATCCAGGGTTACAAAGAGAAATCCTGTCTTGAAAACCAACCAATAGCCAGGTGGTGGTGGCACACGCCTTTAATCCCAGCACTCGGGAGGCAGAGGCAGGTGGATCTCTGTGAGTTCGAGGCCAGCCTGGTGTACAAGAGCTAGTTCCAGGACAGGTTCCAAAGCTACAGAGAAACCCTGTCTCAGAGAGAGAGAGAGAGAGACAGAGAGAGAGACAGAGAGAGACAGAGCACTTTTCTTTAGGCTGAATGCAGGAGATGGGAGGTTGTGTTTCTTTCTTTCTGAAGTTTATAATTCACTACACAAAGTCAGAGCTATGCTCCTTTCTCTCTCCATCCCGCTCTCTTCCCCTTTCCTNGGACAGACGGTTATGAGCCACTGTGTGAGTGCTAGGATTAAAGGCGTGTGCCACCAACGCCTAGCTGCATTCTATTATTCTTTCTGTACCAAGTTATAGTCACTTAAAGTTAAGAATTAAATCCTAATAACCCATGTTCCTTGACAGTGACTAGTCTGAAAGTGTCCCATGTATTGATATTTACTGTATCTACCATGCACGAGGATTTAAATCCCATAATAAATTAGGATTACAATTTTTACTTTTTAGATCAGGAAGAGGCTAGGAGAAGACTTGCTTAGGGAAACTTTCATTTAGAGAGACTCACACTCTTCAGTTACTTTGCTTAGCCTTATCTAAAATTTCTTATTTAAAAAAGTTTTTGGGAGACTGGAAAGATAGCTTAATAAATAGTTAAAGGGAGCTTTCTGTTTTTCTAGAGGATCTGAGTTCGCTGTGTCCAGGTACAGCTCACAACCAAGAGCAGCTCAGTTTAAGAGGATCCACCATCTTCTTCTCCAGCACCCTCTTCTGGTCTCTATGGGTACCCACACACATGTGGCATACCTTTACATAAAAATTAAAATAGATTCTTTTAAAAGT